GGCGAGCCCCGCCCCTCCGGGAAGAGGAAGGGCTGCGGGCTTCGAGCGCCCAGGGGAGCCGCGCCTAATCCGTCCGGCCCCTGCGTCCCGCCTGAGGTCAGGAGTGAGGGGCGGGCCCCGCTCCCCGTCTCGGTGTCCTTTATAAACAAGCAAGAAAAGTGACCCCTAGTCCTGACAGCGGGCAGGAGAATAGAGCTGTTAAAAGAAAAAGTGCAAACCGGGTGTGGTGCCGCGCGCCAGTAATCCCAGCTTTCTTGAGAAACTGAGTGAGGCCGGAGGATTACGAATTCGAGCGCAGCCTGGGCAATTTAGTCACTTAGCCAGACCCTGTTGCAAAATACACAGTAAAAAGGCACAGCGATGTAGTTTGGTACAAGAATTCTAGGTTCAACCCCAGAATTGGGGTTGGAGGAGACAAAAAGAAAAATTTGGCGTGTGCAATAACCTATTCCTACCTATGTTGACGTGGGTCTTACGTCATGCTCGTCCTGAACTTTGTAGTCACTGAACTACAAGCTGAAGTCCAAAGCCCCAACAGTGACGTTAAAGGCCCTTCCTAGCTCGGACTTAGAAGTCAGGCTGCTTCTGGTATTCCACCGAGATGGCAACAGTTGCTACGAGTAGGGAGATGGCTCCCCCGTGGGAAACGGGGGACGTTACGATCCCCGCAGTAAAAACAGCAAAATAAAAGCCACAGCAGCGATCCAGACACCCCTATTTCCTTCACTCCAGTTTTTGGTCCCGTTTCTCCATGACAGCTTTCCTGGCGCCCATCTACAGGGCCTGTGTATCCCCGGGCTGGACAATGTCCTGTCAGTTAAGTACAGTCAGGTGCAAGAGTTTATGTGCAAAGTGGGCTCCTGCCAAAGCTTTCTGTGGCTTTATTTCAATGCAAGCCTTCCCTTGAATCAAATTCCCTTGAATTTAAAGGATTCCTTTAAATTGACCCACAGGGGGGGGGGAAAGCCATTTTTTAGACCTGATAGAAACTTTTCTACATTTATTTTTCTTTAAAATAGAATTTGAGGTTACATGTTCGTTCATTTGTTTTTTAAGATACGTAGCCCTGGATACAATTCTGGCCTCTACCATGATTATGAAAGATACGAAGTGTTTCATTTCCAAAAAGGCAAAAATGAAACAAGACTTTAAACTTAACAATAAATGTCCTTCATTTCCTCAGTCTGACCACCTACTGGAAATGTCTTATTAATTGTGAATTTATTCCCACATATTGTAATGCAAATATAAGATTGGCAAAAGGGCAGCTGCTTTCATTTAAAATTAGAGGCCTTTGTTCAAACAATCACATATTCAAAGTGACCCAAATTATCATGACACGAAGGCCACAGGTCAAATTCAAGGCCAAATTACAAATCAATAGATTTCCTCGAAGGGAGCAGAGGCTATGAATTTGAATCCTTAATCAGTTTTCCTGAGTCTGAATTCTGTTTTTGTTGCATTCAAAATGGAAGCTCTTCTGCAAGATAAAGACTTTGGAAAGTGAATGAGCTCTGCTCTTCTCACATGAATTCTTTCCTACACATTTAATCCATCCATTTTTAAACTTTTAATCATCGTATGTTCTTTGTAATACTTCTCTGTACAGATTTATTTCATAACTTTGGTAAAATACTCCTTCTCTGAACCTCCATGTGCTTTTTTTTTTTGGCTGTATTGGGTATCGAACTCAGGACCTTGTGCTTTCGGAGCAGGCGCAGTGCTACTAAGCTAAAACCCCATCTTCCGTATGCTTTTTATTCGTTTTAATTTTTCTTTAGAAAATAATTTAATTTGGATGAAAATGTCACATTGAAGTTCAGTTATCTGCTTTGTATGCAATATCTGACTCAAACTGTTGGTTCAAAATCGGGGTACAACATTCCATCCTAATGTTGAGAGTACCGCCTGCCACCTGCTGTCAGCAGCCATTAGGACAAAGAAGATTAAAGGGACCGGTCAGGCTCTGTCTCCACAGGACTCTGCCCCCAAGACCTCTGGCTCTGAAATTTTGGCTCAGTCAGCACCCCGCCCGCTTTTTGGCAGTGCTGGAACTTGAACCCAGGGGCTTCGAATTGAGCTACATCCCTATCCCTTATTTATTTTGCGACAGGGTCTTGCTGAGCTTGAACTTTCTATCTTCCTGACTCAGCCTAACAAAAGGCTAGAATTGTAAGCATATCCCACCGTAACAGGCTCCAACACAATTTCTTTTTCTTTTTCTTTTTTTTTTTTTTTTTTTGACTTTTTGAGACAGGGTCTCACTATGCAATTGAGACTGACCTGGAACTCACTATGTAGTGCAGGCTGGTCTCGAACTCACAGCAATCCTCCTGTCTCAGCTTCCCGAGTGCTGGGATTACAGGCATGCGCCACCATGCCCGGCTCCAATGCAATTTCTATTTTTCATGTAGTTGTTTTGTTTTGTTGAGGCACGTTCTTGCTTATGTAGTCCAGGCTGCCCTTGAACTCATGAGCCAGGCCCTGGATTTGATTGCCAGAACCAAAAAAGTAAACAAAAATAAGAAATTAAAACACTATTGGCCGGTGATTTAGCTCAGTGGTTCTGGCACCTGCCTCGCAAGCATACGGACCCACGTTTGATCTCCCATGCCAAAACACACACACACACACACACACACACACACACACACACACAAACACACTATTTAGAGCTGGGTGTGGTGGCATACACCTGTAATTCCAGCACTCAGGAGGCTGAGGCAGGAGGATCACTGTGAGTTCAAGACCAGCCTGGGTTACATAGTGAATTCCAGGTCAGTCTCAACTACATAGTGAGACCCTGTCTCA